CAGGCAGGCAGGCAGCAGCACTTTCCTCCCTTTTCTCCCGCAGATCTGGCAGCTTGTGCCATCTGTAGAGTTAAAAGTGAATTTGGCAGTGGCATTAAAAGGGGCACTGCCGGAAAAAAAACAAGCGACAAAGATGCGTTAAATGGGTGTGTCCTCACCTGTTCTGACTGATATCGTACACTGCGCAAGAGGATAGGTATGTCCACGAGCCTTCGTCTTTGCTCTCTCCACCAAAAATTCCAATCAGGGCCTTCTGTGCGGCAGTGGTATCAGTAAACTTTACAACTGCGGCCGACTGATCTCGACGTCCAATGGCGAGGGGTGCCCGCTCTTGCCAGCGCCTTTCTCTCACGATAAACTCTGCGACACTGCTTGAGGCCTGCTGCTGCGCCGTATCGCCGCCCACTACAAAAACGCTCCCTTCCGTGAGGAAAAAAATATGCGGATGAAGTGAAGTGCAAAAGACTTTAAAATAAAAGTGAGATACACCAATAAAAATGGATTAGCCGTTGTCAAGTACAAAAAACACTTAATCGAGTAAAAGTATCTGATATTTTGTCTTCAAACCACTTTATGCAGCAACTTAAATTGGCACCGAAGATCTGAACAAAGAAATCTCGCTGGTGCGCAAAACCACAGAAATCCGACAGCATTTATTTACGAAAAATGGAAGAAGGAGCTTTAAACTCTGTCTCCCACCCTTATTAAAGAAGTACGTTTTTTCACTTCTATGGGTATTAAAGGACAAATCGCTAGCTCATATGCAAACTACCATCTGCTTACTCACCAATTTCCACACTGTTTAGTCTTGCCTCCATACTTACTGTCTTTTACGAGTGCTCTATGGGCGCCTTAATACGAAAATTGTTTATTTATTTAAATGTTTGTGTTTTACTTCTGCAAAAAAATGCCATAAAATTTCAAAATTAGATAAACAGAAAATATGCCCTGGAGAAATTGCACTTCTGTCACGAAATTCACCATCTACTGCACTGTAGGAGGCGTATTCGCGCTTCTGCATGTCGGCTATGCGTTCCTCCTTTTGCAGATCAGAATCAAATTTGAAAACAGACCACTTGTTCTGACCCTTATCTTTTCCAAAGAGGAGGAATGTCTTAGATGTTCTCCAGTTTCGGTTG